CGGGCCCCTGCCTCTCAAATTCTCAGTCGGTTCCATGCTTGCCGCTCAAACATATGGACCTGAGTTTGGATCCCACCCACTCATATAAAAGCAGAGAATAAAGTGGAAATCCTGGGGGGGGCGGGGGGTGGAGACTACTTAGCCTAGCTGATCGCACAAACTCCAGGCTCAGTGAGAGACCCTGTCTAAAAACAGGTGGGAACCACTGACAAAAACATTACATCAACTTCTGGCCTTCACGTGTATACACGCATGCACTCACATGAACACATGCACATAACACAGGCATACACATGCAATAACACACCTAGAACCCTGAAAACACGCCCCTAAAGAAACTCGGCGTTGGGTAGCCTAACATGTGAAGGGTTAAGTTGACTCAGGTGTTGAAGTGGATCCACCGAATAAAATTCCCGGAAAACTTGCCAGAATAACCCTTCAGTCGTGACCACCGCAGAAGTCAAACTCTGGCTTTATACCCTAAACTTGAATTTAGACGTAAACATTCAAATGAGGGGAAACTCGCCGATCATTTTCACTTTTAAAGTACTAAATTGGCCCATTTGTTTAAAACCTCACATTAATTATTCCAGAGCAATCAACTTCTTAAGGCCCTTTTATTTCACAATTACACTAATACCCCCATTAATTTGGGACACTTACCAACAAGTTTATTCCCTGCCTATTACCTGCGTGCACATTAAGAGTACGTGGATAACACAATACAGGCATTAATATGTAAAACACCAACAAAAGCCATCTGGAGACCTAATGAATAATCAAGGGATTTCAAATTAAACTACAGGATTTTCCCTTAGAATCTTTAGGACAACACTGTCAACTCCAATCTATTCGCTTGGCCTCCAGAATCAATTTTTCAAAGTTTCTGACAGCTGTAATCATTTCCACCTGTGCCTCCCGCCTGACTCTTGACTGGCATGCTACCAGCCAGGGTGGGGATGGAGACAAAGCCCCCTGTTAGGATCCGGCTGTTTCTCCACTGTGAGGTCACTCAGCCATTAAATTAGTTCCAGCCCAATTTTTGTCCTCTCAGGCTTGGACTTCATGGGAGGAGGGTACAGAGCGGAGGGAGTTCCTGCAGTAGATCCAGAAGGGAGGAAGGGAAGAGAGGGTCAGGACTGCTAGAGAGGCTGGCACGGGGCTGAGGAGCTGGGCTAGCCCAAAACTCTGAAGATCAGAGTATCCTCCCAAAATGACCGTGGCCATTCTCATTAATGTGATACACACACGCACGCAGGCACGCACACACGCACCAGCACACGCACACATGCACGCACACACAGGCACGCACACACGCACAAGCACATATGCACGCACACGCACGCACGCATACAAGCACACGCACGCAGGAACACATGCACACGCGCACACGCACATGCTTGCACACACGCACATGCACACGCACTCATAAAAATCTTGTACACGGGGTCCCACTCTGTAGCCCAGGCCGACCTGAACCCCGAGCACTGAAGGCTAGCACTGCATTCATGCCTCCACCTCCTCAGTGCTGGGATGGCATGCATGACATCCCAAGGCAGATTTTCACGGCTCCCTTACGGAATTGTTTTTTGCTTTCCATCTTGCCAGTGGAGTCAAGTGTCTCCTAATTATCCCTTCCACCTTACCCTGACCCTCAAAACAGCAAGGGAGGCTGGTGACAGCTCAGACACAGGGGCACTTCCAGGTCAGATGAAGGTGCCAGGGTAGCATCTGCCAGGGTAACGCTCGTGTTTTCACAGCTAACAGGGAGTGGGGAGAGGGTGCCGCCAACGTCTCAGAGCTGCCTGGAGGGGACGCTGTCATGGTGCCACCATTTCCCCTGATGACCACAAGCCTTATGATGGAGCAGCAACACTCAGTAAGCAGTAACACATAAAAGGCCCGCCGCCCAGCTGACGCATCTGCCTGCCACTCTGCGTTGTCCCAAACACGGGAGCGCAGCTCCTGAACTTCAGTGTGACCAGAATGCACTTGGGGGACATGTCCTGAGGCAAGAGTAGTGTCAACTAGTGAGCACAGTGCCTGGCTTATCCCACACAGTGCTATGGGCAAAGGTGCCTGAAAAATCCAGGGGTGTAAACAGTGGTGATTAAACATTAAACAGGAGAACCAGAATTATCCTTTACAAATCAAAAGTAGCCAACCCTCGATGAGTCCATTCAGCATGCACTCATACGCACAGTCTGTGTTCTTCTGGCTACCCACACGATGGCTCCACATACCTCAGCACCTGACACAGACTTGGCATAAGTCAATCAAGAAAGATACTGTGACTCCAAGAAAAGACGATTCCAAAAATAACGATGACTCACGAGCCAGTGCTCCGTGGCCTCAGCTCTCCTCCCAAGCAGGCGGCTCCCTCATCCTACCAGTGAACAGAACGCGCAGGCTCCCTAAATATCCCAGCAAAGCAAAGGTGTTACTCCAGCCCAGGTGCTGGTACCGGTTCACACCACACTGCACCACGCATGCCACACCGATGGCTCCGTGTCCCAGCTGTAGGACGTGACCGTGGAATGCTCGGTGGCTCGCTTGGGCCAGACACAGCCTGGGGTCCATTTCTTGGGACTCTACCCAATAGCTGAGCTAAGTCAACATGGGAACAGCACAGAAAGGAAAATAAGAGCCTCTGCCCCCCCCCCACAGAGCCAGCAACTGAGGCTTCCAGAACACACGCCCTCGCCCCCTTACAACAGATTGGAGGGAAAGCTCCAGGCCAGGATGATGTGCCAGAGAAAATGGCCGGGCACTGGGACTGGACGGCACATCCAGGTCTAATGACCCGGGGAGCATCAGTCAGTGGGCAGGCTCTGACTTTTTGTTTTCGGAGGGGAGAGCCACACGCCCTTTGACGACCTTTGCTAGCGGGCAAGTAATTCTCAACTTTCCATTGCTCCAGTCCGGTGAGACCCTCTCTGTCAACACAATAAGGTGAAGAGCATCTGAGGAGTCATCGACCTCTGGCCTCCACACGCGCGCACGCACACACACAGAACACATACATGAAGACCACGCTTGTTCGCTTGTGTTTCTTTTTTTCTTTTTTAGCGAGACTAGGCCCAGCAGTGAGGTAAGAACACCAGGGCCGAATGTCAGTCCCAGGGAGTGCCCACATGTATTGCGACCCAGCGTGCTTTGCCCCACCCTCCTGTCGCCTAGCATGCTATGCACCATGGAAGGGACACACGACTGTCCACTGGCGGCCATCGGCGGGTGTCTCCATGAGACGCTTGGCGTGGGTCTGCGGTGCTGCTTCAAGCGAGTATCTCCCACAGGCCTTTGAGCAGTGGGTCCCCAGATGGGAAGGGCCGAGCAGATGTGGACTTGCTGGAAGCAGTATGTCACTGGGCTGGGGTGGGGGGCAGGCTTTGAGGTTTCACAGCCATTTGCCACCCCCGATTTATACTCTGCTTCCTGATTCCCATTTGAGACGTGAGCCTGCTGCTGCTGTGTTCCCTGCAGTGATGGTGACAGCCCTCAGGCCCAGGAAAGGCTTCCTTCTGCAAGCTGCCTTGGGTGGGGGTGAGAGAGAAGTGTGCCCGCCACGCCAGCACCAGAGCCCCCTTCCGGTTGCACCCTTGGGGCACAGTAAGCAGTGGCTTTCCTACTCTGTCACTTGATCCCTGTGAGCTACTCTGGGTTCTGCTGGCACTAAGGAGCTCTGTTCAGACGCCTCTTCCTAAAACAGCCACAGCCCCCGGGAACCTCTGCCCCCTAAGGCTGTTGTGAGCAGCTTCCCCAGGGAGCATTGGTAAGGAGCCATCGGACAGGGGTGGAGGACAGCTGCCCGGCAGAACCTGCCCGGCAGAACCTGCCCGGCACAGGGACCGACCAAACAAAGATGGCCCGCTGCCTGTACCAGACTAGAGGAGAGAGAAGCGTCCCTCGCTGCCCGAGGAAAGCAGAAATACTTTTCTCTTTAGGAAAACAAAACTGAAAAAATATGTACCTATAGCAACACAAATTAAGTCGATAAACAGAACTCACTAATTAACATGGCTCAGTTATAGCTCATTCACAGCAGTGTGCTCTACGCATCTTCTGCCGACCCCATACATACCCCACACACTAACTGCCTGCGGCGTGAGAGGCATGGACACACCGGCCAGAGGCAGGGACACACCGGCCACTTCACTACTCTGTAGCAACTATAACCAACTAACTCCACCCCAGATACTAGTAGAACGAAGGCAACGAGCAGAATTTCTGTAGGTTGAATTACCCGTCTAATAATCCCTACGTGTGTAAGCCCTAGAAAACTGTGAATCCAGTGATTTCTGGAGTCTGTAGTTTTCAATTTTGGTTCCAAGAACAGGGAAGACACTTTTCTGAGTTTCTCTCTCTTCTACCCAGCATCTTAAACCAAAATCATCGTGTTAATTAGTACAGACAATATGTAGCATTTAGAAAGATCCCTTTTCATCTGTTTTCCATGTTTCGACTCCAAAGAGAGGCCACAAAACAGAAGTAAAAACGAAAGCTTACAATTAAGAATAAATTTCAAACATGCAAACGGGATTAGAGCAAGCTTGGAAAATGACTAGGAACGGACCAGAACAGATTTCAAAACACAAGTTCCCACTTGTCTCCGTCTAACCCAGCTATAAGTCACCCCTACTTTATTCTTTTGACACCCCGCAGGACATCCTAGATTAAACGTTTACCACTGATTACCACAGCACAGAGAAAAAACGATCACCCGATCACTGCCACCTGTTACACACTGTTTTTGAAATCTTCCCTCAAGGACATTTTTCAATGGCTGATTAAAGAAAGCACAACCCCAGCCACCAAAGCCACATAAGAAATACGGACTCCGACTTAAGTTCCTCCTTCAGAGGCCTAAGCTCTCGGGGGCACGACAGAGACCATTACCCTGCTCAGATGATGGGCGGGTCTGTCCCTCTCCCCTGGCACTGGGTACAGAAACAGACACCAGTGGACACCTTGGCCAGGCCGAGTGCCTGACTGGAACTCACCCATCCAAGAGACTCATGGTCGTGGAGGTCACTTCCGTAAACAGAATCACTTTCCCGAGCCTCGTGGTCTGCAGATTCTGCCGATACGTCTCTACGTGAAAGTACTCTGATGAGAAGGCATCGGAGTCGGTAACCACGGGAACAGAAGCCGGGGTGATCTCCACTCCAGCCGTGCAAGAGGAGACGAACTTAAGGGAGAGTTTGCTGGATTTTATGATTCCTTCAGGATCCACATGCCTCTCAAGCCACTGCATAAACGGATCCTGGATCTCCTATGTCATAAAAAAGGAAAGGGGGGAAGGAGGTTGCGATGGGAGACTTAATCCAACAATAGCAGTGTTTACTGAAGATACCTGGGTAGCTTAGGCACTTCCCACTTCATAAACTAAAGAGCCAGGGGAACACATCTGATGCACCTGAGTCAGCACGAAATACTGTGTTAAGCGCCACAGTCTGAACACATTAGGAACTTAATTCCCAAATTCACACATTAATGGTGTTTGGGGATGGGACTTCTGAGATATGACTGAGTCGAGGGGACCCTGCCCCCTCAAATGGATTAATCCATTAGTGGGTTACTGGTTTACTAAGTGAGTTAGTTACCATGAAGTAGGTCAGGCCTCGGATAAAAGCTTAGGGAGCCCCCTTTATGGGTCTCTTGACAACTGATGCCCACAACACTCCCTATGGACTACGTAGAGTGCCCCCACCACCAGCAAAGAGGGCTTCACTCAGTGAGACACGCACACTCACACACACACTCGCACACTCACTCACTCATGCACACTCGCACACTCACTCACATGCATACTCACACATGCAGGAGCACACACACACACACTCATACACACTCACACAATGCACTCACACACACATTCATACACACTCACACAATGCACTCACACACACTCATACACATACTCACAACTCATACATGCAGGAGCACCCTCACACATGCACAAGCACACTCACACACGCACAATGCACGAGCACACATACACTCATATACTCACACACGCACGAGCACACCTCTAAATTCTCTACCTTCAAACTGTGAGGAATTAATTTCTTTAGAAATTACCCAGCCCTAAGTATTTGGTGATGGTAGAAGAAATTAGAATGAGATATTAAATGTGTTTACCGTTTAAGAATTATAAACCAGGATCCAAGGAAACACCCCGAGTCCATTACTTACTTTCCAACCCAGTTACACCTGGCGCATCTCAGAGGTCCCCTCTAGCTCTAAAGTCCCTCTTATCCAGTGCTCTGCACATTCCACAAGGAAGGGGGATAGAATCACTCTTATGTCTTTACACTTTTCCCTCACCTTTACACTTATTATCCTACCTGGAAACAAACTCCAAGTAGGAGTCTCAAAACTGAATGCACCCTTGTACCAGTGCTTTGTTTCTGAGGGTACAGTGCCCCGTGTAAAGACAGTTGGACACCGTCACCAGCCAAGGGGAAGCCAGCTTTCCCACAGGAAAAACACTGTGGCATCCCAGGTTCTTTATTTTGTCCTAACTAGGAAAACGGAAGAGACATTGCTTAATGCAGAGTCTCCGGTGGTTCTGAAGCTTGGAGGAGGCTCACCATGCCTGTGTGCAAGCCAGAAGCCTTCCTCTGGGATGGCTTATCAAGAACCATGTAGATCCCTTCAAAGGAGTCCTGCACAAGACAGATCCAGGAGTCTTAAAGGATTATATTTATCATTTTTATTTCATGTGTATGAGCATTTACGTGCATGTATGTCTGTGCATCATGTGTACGTGTATGATCATTTACCTGCACATATGTCTGTGCATCACGTGTTTACAGTGTCCATGAAGGCCTGGAGAGGGCATCAGATCCCCTGGAACTGGACTACAGACAGTTGTGAGCCACCATGTGGGTGCTGGGAACCAAAACCAGGTCCTCTGCAAAAACAGCTAATGCTCTTAACCACTGAGTCACCACACCAGGCTTAAGAGCCAGGGTTTTAGGAGATCCCCATGCAAATGTCAGAACTTTCAAAGGAAAGTTTAAAAGGTGTCCCTTCTCCATTAACATGAGGAGCATGTCCCAAGTCCCCCACGCCCCAAACGAAGAACCGACAGGCTGAAATTTCATTCGTCAAATCGCAGTAGCCAACCATTGAACACAGACCCCAGGCAGATCACCTTGGGGCCTCTGAGGAGACAGCGGGAAGCAGAGGGGCCACACTGGAGGGACTGCCCTCTCATGTGTGAGTCACAAGGTGAGAACATTCACAGGCCCAGCAGGCAGGGTGTGAGGCGGGGAAGAGGCGAAGGAAGGATGAACAGGGAAAAGAGGCATGTTGAAAGCTGAAGGTGAGTGATCTTACTGAGAAGGCAACATTAGGGAGAGGGGAGGAGGGAGGAGGGAGGGAGGGGGAGGGAGGGAGGGTGGGGGAGGGGGATGGGAGGGAGGCTTTACTGTGTGATCTGTTCATAGTCAGGCTCGGATGTCTAGCTCGTGTCAGAGTTCCATGATGCTCCCACAGTGAAGAAATCAGCACATTTCCCAGAACACATTCGGCCCTTATGCAATGCTTGACTGCAATGATATCATTTGTATTTATTATGTAGAAAGGGTTCCAGAGGCGCAGGGCAGATGGCCCAAGAGGAGAAACATGACGGAGACAGCAACATGACGGAGACAGCATGAAAGGGAGGCGGTCTGGAAGAAGTGAGGGGCCACAGGGGTGAAGGAGCAGAGAGCCATTGGAGCCCACATGGGAAGCAACGGGGGGGGGGGGGTTGGGGGGTTGGCTCCCGCACTTCTGGGTTGAAGCAAATGGAAGCAGAAGTGAGCTCACAGCAGCATGACAGCCCACGTCATGAGAACACACAGTGAGAACATGCTCTCAGCAGGGGCTGCATGATGCGCTAACAGGTCATACTTGGAACACTATCAGATATGGGGAGATCAGGTTTGTGAGGCGGCTCAGTAGCAAACGGCACTTCCCAGGCAAGGACGGCAACCTGAGCTTCATTAATTCCTGGAACCCACGTAGAGGTAGAAAAAGACACTAACTCCACAAAGTTGTCCTCTGACCTCCACGCACATGCTACATGTGCACGCACGCGCACACACACATGCACGTGCGCGCGCACACTCGCACACACCCACACACCGTCATTATGTGCACACACAGAGAATAAATAAAATTTTAAGGAGGGAGCTCAAACATGAGCATAAGTTTCCCAATTCTGACCCCTTGAAGGCCAGCTGTTACCAGCAGATGTGCAGAGAGGGCAGGTGTGGGAAGGGGGTGGGCATAGATGTGCTGGCAAGACAGGGCTACGGGAAATACAGAGGATGTGATGGTTTGAATAGGAACAGCCCCCAAAGACCCATGTGTCTGGATCCGTAGGAAGTGGCACTGTTAGGAGGTGTGGCCTTATTGGAGGAGTGTGTCACCGCGAGGGCGGGCTTTAAGGTCTCATACGCTCAAGCTATGCCCAGCATATTATACAGTTCACTTCCTGTTGCCTGTAGATCCAGATGTGGAACTCTCAGCTACTGTCCAGCAGCACATCTGCCTACAGGCTGCCAGGTTACCTGCTATGACAACAATGAGCTGAACCTCTCAAACTGTAAGCCTCCCAATTAGCTTCCCTTGCTAAGAGTTGCCATGGTGACAGTGTCTCTTCACAGCGCTAGAAACCCTAACGAAGATGGTGAAATCAAATGAGCAGGGAGGCTCTGCAAGCCAGCGGCCCAGGGGCGAGTCAACACAGGTCCACATTCGGAGATCAGCAGATGCCAGAAGAAAGCAAAAGATAGTGAAGGGAGTCGGGTGTAATAAAAAGATACAAATGAGCTGAATTCATTTTCTGGGGTCTGGTAACCAGGACCACACAACAAGCAGCTTTAAACAGCAAAAATGGATCACAGCTGTCAAGGCCACAGGTCAAATCAAGGTGTCAGCAAAACCAAGCGGGCTCCCTCTCAAGGCTGCAATGGTTTGACCATGAGCCCTAAAGACTTGTGGGAAACACGGTTCTCAGTGGACCCATATTGACAGCTGAGGCCGTTCAGAGCGGAGGCCCCACCCAAACCGCCCCTCTACTCTACCATCAGCCCTGAACAGCAAAACTTTGTTAAGTGTGTTTGCTACATGCCAGCAATGACCTTCCAGATACTCTCAAATGACAACGATGACTTGGGGACTAAGGAGGCAGCTGTCACTAACACAGGCAAGGGGAGTGTGTGCCCCCCCAAGTCCATGTGTCGGTACCTAATGTTTGAAGCAACAGTATTAAGTGGGGCCTATAGGAGCTGAGTAGGTCATGAGGGCTGTGCACCATGAGCAGGTCAGTGTAGTTAGCCCAGTGGTCAATCAGTCACCTTAGGGGTATATGCCCAGTTAACGTGCAAAAAAAAAAAAAAAACAGAGGGACAATCTCTCCTTCCCTCCCTCCATCCTGCTCTTCTTTCCGCCACTGGATACTACAACAAGAAGGCTCTCAGCAGATGACAGCACCCTGATGTTGAATTCTGGAGCCTCCATGATCATGAGACACAATTCTTTTTCTTTTCTGTGGCATTGTTAGTAAATTAACTAAATCAACTTAGCAAAATCAACTATAGCACAGGATAAAAGAATCAATTCCTAATTCTCAGGTCATTTTTTATCAGTAACCATTAGGCAGTAAGAAAGTGCTACTGAATTGACAAAGTATACATAAACACACACATATGTTTATACGTACACGTGTGTGTGTGCACATGTATGTGTACACATAAGTGTATGCTGTCAAATGGGCTGAAATGTAAGTAGTATGACCCACCCTCAACCTCCTGAGCTGAACCACCAATGCGGAGCTAGATCCTCTTCATCAGGAGAACTGCCCTGTCCAGGGCCCTCACAATCTAGGTCAGACCCTCATAAACCTTCAGTGACTTTATGGCACTCACCATAACCGTAATTTGTAGGCCACATATTTAACGTCCCTCTGTCCATAAAGGCCACACATGGGTCTTGCTCTCTTGCGCCCACAGCAGGCATCCAGGCTCAGGTCTGGCAAATACCTGACTATCATTTACAGTGGAAATCCACACTAACCAAGGAAACGTACAAAGAACAGATACGTGTACATCGACCTGGTTACAGGCAGAACCTTCAAAGGGCGATGAGGACAAGGAGAAGTCATCTTTTGTTAGGGATGCCGTGTGTGTGTGTGTGTGTGTGTGTGTGTATGCACGTGTATGCATGTGTGTGATGTGTGTGTGTGCATGTGCGTGTGAGGTGCATGTGTGTGCACGT